GATCAGGGTAAGCAATATGAAGAGATGAGTGACTAAATCTTTGTGAAAGGGTTGCAAAGGAGCCAAGATACTAAAGGTCTTTTGTTTCAGGAATCTCATTTGAGTTAGAAGTACTTGGCGTGTATGCTTGCCACTCATTCTACATACTGTCCATGTGGATGAATCTTCTTGAGATGAGAAGGGTTTTACAAATCTTTGAGCAGAGATGGGAGACTAGGTCTCTTACACTTCTGTGCTCTATTTTTTGTCATTGTGTCATGATGCTAGACTATATCCATAGTGTTATCCTGCAGAGTGGAAAGATGTGGAGGGAAAGTGGAAGAGATGCCTCAGAGGGAATATTGACATTTTTCAAACCCTAACAGTTTAAAAAAACATGCTTAGGACTCTCTTAATGAAAAAGGTGTAATTCTATGGAGTGGAAACTAATGGGTGAATATGTTATGCATTCACCTTTGGTGACGTTTTATTTGGACAATGAAACTAGAATCATAAGATACATAAAAGCCTAAGCAGACGAGTGTTAATTTTTAGTATGGGAAGATACTTGTGGCAAGTATCGAGTATTTTTCATCAATGTATTTTGAGAAAGTGAGCAAGAACTTCCACTATGTGCTTTTCCACTTCTTCTCTGAGATACTCAGCAACTCCAGTTATTTCAACATATTTTAGCTTATGGGCAGTAGCTCATTACATATTGACAGAGTCCGTACAGTTTTTTTTCTCAAATGTCTTTTTAAGACTGTTTTAAAAAAAATAAAAGAGCCTCCTCTTCCCCAAGTGAGGACATATGTGACAAGAAGAAATAAAAGGGATTAATTTTCTTCTTTCTCTAGCAGTTGATCCTCTCCTTTCTTAACATAGTGTTTGAAAACAATTTGGAAGTTTTCTTCACATAGATATCGAAAACAAATGCAATTGAGGTGAGGAATGTAAACAGACTTGGATTACTTTTTCATTAGGGCTGACTGTGACAAGCTTATTGTGTGTTTATGTGAATTCCTGGGCAACTGAGTAAACAACAGGGGACGTCATTTTTCTGCTACAGTACCCTAACTGGAGAAGGCTGTGGATGACCCTGAGAAATACAGTGATCAATCTTTCAGTTAAAACTTGCATAAATGTTGGAGTTCAATTGTCACGCTTTTTGCCAAAGCTTGCAAAAGCAGTAGGACTTTAGAGCCAATTTTTATACCCTAGCCTAATTGAAATCAGCCATCTTTAACTCAACCATAGTATGTTAATGTTGATTTACTGGTAGCAAGTGTAGTAAAATGCAGATATCTAAAAGTAATGCACATCGACAAACATTAAGCCTTTAATAGGTGAGGAATAAGTTGGCATCTGCGCAGAGAACTTGCTTTACTGAATCCAACACTGTTATTATTAAAGGTAAACATTACTGAGTTCTTCTTAACTCACTTCTAAACACTTAGAACCTTTTACAAGATTCTAAAATTTGTAAACTGAGATAAACATGTTTAAGAGTAGCTACCAGCCCCCAATCTTTTGTTTATTTCAGTTGCCTTGCTAATGTTCTTAGTGCATTACAGAATTCTTGAGAATTCCTTTTACTTTCTAATATGATTGGTTTTTTCTCCTCCATTTTCCCCTGCATTCCCTCTTTTAATTGCTGCCATAAAAGAAATGTTATTTTGCCTTATATATCTAAGTTCTTGATTTCTGCTTGCTCACACTAGTCTGCAAGGATGTTCCCATCTCATTTGGTTCTCTTAAGATTCAGCAAATCTCTTCAAAGTAAGCTTCAGATGGTATGTTTCATGAGATGTACTTTTTTTGGGCAAACACACACCAGTTACTAGAGGATAGTTTTGCTTGTCAGAACCCTTTCAGGTTACAGATGACTACGTAAATTCTCTTACTGTTTCTCATTGCTGAACTAATAATTGTATTTCTACCTTTGAGTCAGTTTTCAGTAGGAGTAGTTGAAGCATGGCTTAATTTTGTCAGGATATGATAGTTTCTATTACATTAGTTTTCAAGGGAACAAAATTAATCTCAAATTATATTCCAAGTTCCGTAACTTCAAAGAAACATTCAGTGAGAGATGAAAATAATGAAGGGGAAAAACCTCTAGTTGAAAAGTCAAGCATTGTTACTGTGTATTCAATATCTGGTAGTGTTGCATTAAAGCTACACTTCAGCTTTTGTTGTTTCAGGTTAAAATTACACTATTTTTAACAGAGCATTTGGAGTGGTCTTTTAATTTTTAAGTAAGCTGCATTCAAGCATCTAGTTAGTAAAACTTCTGAAAGAAAAAGCATTTTATAACAGGAAAAAACTTAAGGCACATGGAGTAGATTTTTAGATAGGTGCTGGAACGAGTACAGAGGAGGGCAATGAGGCTGGTGAAGGGCCTGGAGAAAAAATCTTAGGAAGACCACTTGAAGGAGCTGGGAATGTTTAGTTTGAGAAAGAGGAGGCTGAGGGGAGACCTCATCAGTCTCTACAACTAGCTGAAAAGACTTTGTAGAGAGGTTGCTGCTGTCTCTTTTCACAGGTAATTAGCAATAGAACAAGAGGGAATGGCTTCAGGCTGCAACAAGTTAAGCTTAGACTGGACATTAGGAAAAAAAAATTCACAGAAAGAGTGGTTAGACACTGGAATAGGCTGCCCAGGGAGGTGGCTGAGTCACCATTCCTGGATGTGTTTAAGGGTCTTTTGGATGTGGTGGTTTTGGATATGGTTTAGGGGAGGACTTTGTAGGGTAGGGATGATGATTGGACTTGGTGATCCCAAGGGTCTTTTCCAACCTGAATAGTTCTATGATTCTATGATTCTTTGAAAACAGAAACAAATTATGGCAGCCATATTAAATTTAAGTTTGAGATACACGTTGCAGAGCTTTTCTTCCATTAAGTGTGGTGTAAGATATGTTTCACTCCTTTATACAAACAAAGCTTTTTTTTCTTGTATATACAAATCTATATATTTAAAAAGAAATGCAACCCAGCCTTGAATAAAGATCTTAAACCCCTTTTCTCATTCATGCTTAGCTGAGATCAAAACTGCAGGCTTAGGTACAGATGTGCTAAATGAAAATAGAATTACATAATCATCTTTTATAATTGTAATGAAACTTTTTTTTTGTGTGTCTTGAATATTGAAGACCTTTGCCACCCCATTTGCAAGGGGTGGACTTTATATCTTATGTATATTTTTATTATGAGTATTATATAATGTCAGCTCTTTAAGAGTATTTTTACCAAAGGACTTACTTCTCTGTGCCCAGCACACAGGTACCTCTTCAACTGTGTCTGAATGGTTGAGTCCAGCAGTTCTTTCCTGCTCTGGGATGTGGGAATGTCTTTTGAGTGCTTTCAATCTGCACACAGGGATGATATGCTGTTATGCACAATTCCTCACCAGTGCTCTCCTTGTAAATGGAGAGGAAGCTTCAGCTCTTGGCCAAGTCAATGCTGTGGAAGACACCAGCATATCGCTCTTCTGCACAATCAGGACACCAAAATTCTGTGAAGCTATTAAAAAAAAAAATGCTTTTACCATTCAATCTAAACATATTTTTTTTATCCCTCCATGCAATTCCAGTTAACTATGTCCTCACCCAAGTCCATCATAATAGAAGGAAATGCAGCTGAACATGAGCTTAAAATGAAACTTCTTGACTTAAAGACTTGATTGTGAATTTTCTGTGCATATACAAGATGATTTCAAATGAGATTAGTTTATTCTTCCCATATATACTGTATCAAGATACTCCTACCCTGTATACAGCTTAGGGTTCCTCAAAAAGTACTGCAGAAAGCTATAAGAGTTCACAGAAGTGCAGAAAGAATGACAGGAGTTAAAGTCTCTCGTGTAGTGGGGAAAATAATAATCCCCATTGCAAACTAATGAAGGCAAGGCTAAGAGTCACTTCATGAGAATCTGAAGACCTTAGGGTACATACTTCTGAAAGCAGATAATTTTTTAAGGTTACATAAATAGATAAAATTAGACTCTGTAGCCGGAAGCTGAAACTAAGTACATTCAAACAAAGTATAAAGAATGAATTGCTAAATCTTTATGGATTAAGAACCTGTTTTAAAGCTGTACTTTCAAAGGGCCACTACAGTGCTTTCAGTAAATAGGAACTGAAATTAGAAAATACTTGCTGATTCCATTTCCTGTGGTAAGAAGTGGTGTGGTCAAACTGAAAGATCTCCTGGCCCTGCAGCTCTCTGAAAGTTTCTTGTTTTGAAACTGTACAGAAAGCTTAATTGCTTTTTTCTACCGTTTTGTGTGTGTGGATTTTACTGTATCAGGTGAGATTCTGAAAACAAAGAGCATTGGAGCAAGTAGGTTTTTTATCCTAGTGTCAAAGAACATGCAACTTTGCTCTGAATTAAATGAGAAATACTCTACTATTTACTTTTTATAATTAAACATCAGTATTTCAGCAGAAAAAGGCATTTTGAAGAGTGCTTTTACTATCGAAAATGTAGCCGTCACCTTTTGAAATATGTTTTGACAAGTATTACACTGCTGTAGTACATTAGTCAGGGTTAGTCATATTGAAATATCATCACCCCTTGCCATATTGAGCATGGCCATGTGTGATGTCCTATGACAGCAAACCTTTTGAAAGGATGAGCATTCACAAATGTTAAAGGATGGCAACTATCCTCCAAGCAGTCTATGGATGTAAAATGAATTCAAGAGACTAACCTGTAGAATCCTTATTTTACAAGCTTCAGCCTTCAGCTGGGTAAACTTTATTTGAGGTATCTCCTGAGTAAAGAATGAAAAAACAAAATTTAGATTTCTTTTTTAAGAAAAGTACAATAATTAAAGTAGTAGTCCTGTGCTCTGAAGATCTAGGTTTAGTTTCTTCTTTTTTACAAGAAGCTAGTGCACTGCAGCCAAGTGCCACTCAGGTTGCCTGACTTACCAGGAATCTTGGGAGACACAGTGATGTTCAGTGGAGGCAAAATGCAGCAGCTGTGTCTGTTCCTATTCTTTTATTGTTATTCTGCAGGACTTTGATTATGAACTACTACAGGGATATTAGGCTACCGTGGCATTTAAATGTTTTTTGTATTGGTTAGCAAATCTGTTTTTCATGGTTTCACAGAATGGTTAAAGTTGGAAGGGACCTCTGGAGGCTATCTTGTACAACATAGAGCCAGGACATTGTCCAGGCACCTTTTCAGTATCTCCAAGGGGGGAGATTCTACTGTACCTTCAGGTATGGCCTCCCTGAAGCCTTCTCCTCTCCAGGCTGAACAGCCCCAACTCTCTAAGCCTGCTCTCAATAGCAGAGGTGCTCCAGCCCTTTGATCATCTTCATGGCCCTTCTCTGAACTCCTCTCCTGTGCTGAGGGTTCCAAAACTGTACACAGTATTCCAGGAGGGGTCTCACAAGGGCAGAGGGGGAGAATCCCCTCCTTTGCTCTTCTTTAGATGCGGCCCAGAATGTGTTTGGCCCTTTGGGCTTCAGCACACACTGGCAGCTCATGTTGAGCTTCTCATCTACTGCTACCCCCAAGTCCTTTTCCTTGGGCCTGGTCTCTAGCTGTTCTCTCCCCAGTCTGTATTTGTGCCTGGGGTGGCATTGACCCAAGTGTAGGGCCTTGCACTTGGCCTTGTTGAACTTAATGAGTTTGGCGTTGACCCACCTGTCAAGGTCCCTCTGGATGGCATCCTTTCCCTCTAGAGTATCAGCTACTCCACACAGCTGATCAGTACACTTGCTGAGGATACACTCAATCCCACTGTCCATTTCTCCAGCAAAGATGTTAAACAGCACTGGTCCTAAAGTGACCGCTGAGGAACACCAGTTGTCACTTGCCTCCACTTGGACACTGAGACAGTGTCAACCCAGTAACACTGTGGAAGAATATTTATCTTGTTGCTAGCATCATGTTTTGCTCCTTAAAAAGAAAGCAGAACTGAAAAAGTGTAGTTCTGGTTTATTTTTGTCAGGTTCTTTAGTAATTTTATTAGAAAAAGGACAGTAGGAAAGATCACTAATGAGTATCCTGATGCCATGCTGTCAAAATATCCTAAACATCCTAATCCTCTTTCTAATTAAGTCAGGCTATGTCCAATGTTCAAATATGCATTTACTTCTGCCATTAAAAGCTAAGTGTTGCATTTTTAGTAGTATTGCTTGTTTGTCACGAATATAAGAGTGAACAGAATGTGTGAATACGCTCTGCTTTCTACACTGCCATTTTGGTATTTATTCTGATATGCGGGTTGAAGCGATTATAAATATAAAAAAATAAAATATTCTGAGCTTTTTTACCAGCATTTCTCTGGGTCATCTTTCTGCCTTGGCCTAGAAATAAGCAATTGTTTGTCATTTCAAGATGATGACTTTTTCTGTTTCTTCAGCATCTCAAGGATTTTTCTGGGGGGAACTAATGATCTGTCTTGTGATATTTGTAATGGATTCATAATGCATTTGAAACTATATTTTAAAAATGTTTTCTTCTCTCTAGAAAATACAAAGGATATTCTTGTAATATATGAAGAAGAAGCAGAAGAGTGGGCTCTGTATCTAAAATCTCTTTTTGGACACATAGTGAATGAAGGAGGAATCTTACTCTACGATCTAAAGACTTTGTCTTTCAAGCATCAGGAGTTATTTTCTTTACTCTGTTATAAATGTAAGCTCCTGATACTATCATGTGGACTTCTTAACTGCCTGAATCGAAAGAGAAGTTATTTTCTGGAGCAAGTTCTAAAACCTCCAGATAATGTGGTGATTCTGCTTTGTGGGGTGGAGAATTCAGCAATTCTTTATGAAATACTGACCTTGGATGGAGGAAGCAAAGAGATCTCCACTGATCAGGAACCGGAGGAATACCTCTCTGTTGTTACTGGAATTATTCAACCAGGTAATCCAGAAGTGAAAGCTCTGTGTGATTATTAAGAGTTTTCTTTAGCTGAGTTAGTATCATTTGGAAGGGAAAAAATGATTATTCAGATTTTCTGAAGAAATTATCACTCTTTAGCTTGGTCCAACACTTTTAGTTTGATACATTTTCATTGAAGTGTGATGAAACTGTTGTACTCTTAGTCCAGCTTCTTTTTCACAGGGAAACAGCTTTGGAAAATCTAAAAGCTGCCACTGGCAGCTATGACCATCAATCCATGGTAAGATTGGTAAGATGGAAGAGCTGACATATGATTGTTTTTCTTTTTCTTGAGTTTACCAATCTTGGAAACTGCAAACCTATGGGTTTATGTTTCAAAATGCCCTAATGTGACAGTGTATATATCTCTTTAGATAAATCTGACAGTGAAAAATAATTACTGAGTAAGACCCAGTTTTGTGGATGGCATCTTTTCCTGTGTGACACACAAAGGCTGTAAAAGCAGAAATTCCTTTCCCCTTTACTAATCAAAATGAAAAGCCGGTACTGGAAAGACTAGAACTATTAAGTTTGTGTATGTTTGCACATCTATGAAAACTACAAAGAAGCAATAAGGTAAAAATTAACACTTCTGGAATGTAAGGAAAACTACTCTCTTGAGGCACTGAAATGACAAAGTCTGTGCACATGGTTTAGTTTAACTTCGCTAGACTGCACAAATGAAACTGAGAAGTAGTTTAGTTATGAAAAGGCCACTTTAGAAAGGAGATGTAAGTTGTGCACATGTTTCAGGTAGCTGGTCATATGTTTTTCTTTGAGGGCATATTTATTGATGCTTCTTTATAGTCTCTAGGTCTCTTACCTCCTTTCAGCTCATGATTTTGTCTACTAAGCGGAACATTGTTTTTCTGTCTTTGTTAGCTGCAAGGTGCCATTTTGCTGGCACAGAAGCTTGTTTGATAAAGACATTGTGCAGTTCAGGAATTTTACTTAGAAATAAACTGACTTTAGATGCACATGAGCAACCAAGAATATTCATTTGAATACAGGGGTAAAGAGACCCCAGCTGATTCAGAGTGTCCTAGCTAGTGTCTTAAGTCTTGGGCAGATGAGCTTAAGCATACTATAAGGCTTTCACACCTGCCCAGAATGCGTCTACACACAGTCTGGCTATATCAGATCAGTGCTTTCAAAACTAAGATTTAGACAGTTCTTTCCCAACTGTGTCCTGTTCTGACACTTCTTGCTGTTCAGTATTTGTTAACATTTTCTTCAGCATATTTTTTTTTTTCTGAGCATCTCTCAGACTTTTAAATTTTGGGGCTAGTTATAGTTGCCTGGTTTGGTTTCAGGAGGTAATGTTTGGATGTTTGGAATTTCTGATTGTGTCTGATATTTAGCTTCATACTGAAATTTCTTGGCAGCTTTTTATTGGAATGAATGTGTGTGTCTGTGTAGGAAAGAACAAGGCCCAGAAACAGTCTGACTCCTGCACAGGAAATTTCAAACTTTTCTGCAAAGTTAAGTAGTTTCTTAGAAGACAAGTTATGGTTCTTTGTTTAGGTCTGTGCATTCACCAAAGTATTTATTGCATCTGCCCTTGGGATTTTACTTACATTGTAACATCAAGTGACTAATAGGTGCTCAAATTATCTTTTCTTCGGCAGTGATCAATACCAGCAATTTCAGATACCAGTACAAAGCTTAACTAATAAATAGTAGTTGAAGGCGTCAGTCTCAGTGTGTTCTTATGTACTAGACATGCATAGACTGTGGCTGGGATCAGACAAGTTCAATTGACTGAACTAGATCCTGGTCTGGGAGTAGTGTTGCTGCCTCATGCTTCAGGGTGTAACCTCTCCTCCTGTTTTTCTCTGTGCAGGTGATCCCAGGCCTTCAGGCAGGCCAGGTCAGATCAGTGCTTGCTGTGGACCTGCTCTCTGTTGCACAGCAAAAGTATTCTTAGTGTGAGATTTGCTGTTACCTGGATGTTGATTTAAGCTTTTGAATATGGTGTGATTGTGTGTGCATAAGCTGAAGTCTTGGTTGTAAAGATTTCTTACATGGATGCACAAGATTGAGTGAACAGAGGGAAGGTAGGTAGGTAGTTCTGGCCTTGTTCACTGCCAGGGGAGGCTGCAGTATATGAGACTACACAGTTGTGCCTCCCTGTCATCCTTCCACAATCAGACATTCAATACCACTGTTGCTGATTTAGTGCAGTGATATCATCTGCTTATGGAGGAGCACCTCAAATGCCAACTGAACTTTTCTATTAAAATGAAAATAATAGGTATTAATTTGTCATAAGCAGAAGAAGTAGAAAGGGCGTTTTGCTAGCTGAAGTGTGCTACAGTAAAGTATTTGTTTCCATTTTGCCCTGGCAGTGACTCCTCAAACTGTTCTGCAGGGACAGCAACTAAAATTACCAGATTAATAAATCTTTCTGAGATTCCTTCTCCATTTCCACACAGAATGATTGCTGGGATGCCTGTGCAGTGATAGGTATTGTTAATGGGGATGACTGTCAACAAAAAACAGTGGTTAGTGTCACTAACTTTTTAATCTGGCATGTGATCCTGGCTATTTTAATCCACACGATAGACTGAAGTGGCAACCATAGCTAGGATGTTGAGACTGCATCCCCTACTGCTTAAACTGCTTGAGTTATTTGTTCTCTCTTATTTCTGCAAAATCCAAATAAGACACTTATTTGGTATATAACCAGATTTATTATAAGATGTGTTTCAATCTGTCTAGCCAGTCATGGTGACCTGTACCCTTGGATTCTGACGTATGCATCGTGTATGTAATATTTTTCCCTCGTATTGTTGATACTAATTGGATGAAAACTACTTCCACCTGGAAAAGTAAATGCAGTGATGTTTCAAAGAGAATGTTTTTAACAGCCTTTAGGAGAAGCTCATAAGAAGTTTTATTAATAGTCAAATTACTAGAACATAAACATTACTGCAACAACAGTCCTAATTTAAATTAATGTACTGTGATTTTACTGTTGTTTGTTTAGATTATATTTTTTCTATTTTTTAAATTAATGGATTCATCATCATTAGTCTGCTATTTCAGGGTTGCAGGAGGACACCATCCAAATTTATGTCTTGTTTATGGCACAACAGTCATCAGTTAGTATTTAGTTGCAGCTTTAGATGAGGCATTTCTAAAGGTTACAAATATGACGTAGTCATACATGTCCTTCATATAATGTATTATTGACTCTCCTCAGGTTTTGTGCTATGGTTACCAAACACTAGTACTGAAAAGTAATTATTGGAAGGTGTCTAGAGAAGTCTTCTGGAAAAGCATTGTTTGTATACTTTGGCACACAAGTGTTATAACAAAATTGCTATTTGTATTTCACCATGATGTATTTCTGCTAAATTAGTGTCAGCTTTTTGGAAACAGGATAAAATTAGCATAGTCTTGTTTTCCAGATTGAAAAAATCTAATACTTATCCCTGAAAAAATGACATGTAGCACCTATTTAAGTTCATACTGAAAAAAATTCATTATTAGGATAGCAAAAGAACACTTTTTTAATAGAATCAGATTTTACTCTTGGTAGGGTCTCTCTGAATTTATTTAAATGGCTATGAGGACGGAACTTGTTCCAGAAAATGTTATTGCATTTACAAAATTTAATATTTAAACGTCAAAAAGATGAAGCTACAAAGTAGCCTATTAAACTTCAGTTAGGATCCTTCGTAGCATTGATTGTCTTTAATTATGTAAGTGATTCTTCCTGCCTCATCCCATTCCAGCCAAGAATCTAGTCACATTAGTACACAGGATAAATAGTGCTTAGTTAGTTAGCAGTTCTTTGATATTTTGTTTTGTGTTAGAGTTTGTGGTTGCATTATTTATGCATTGAATGCTATTAAAGTCTTGTTGAAAAAACAATTATTAATTTCCTAATGTGCTTTTCTGTAAAACTCCTTTCTGCATTGAGTGCTATCCAAACTTTATTTTATCATTTTATGAACTAGTATTTAGCAAGATTCGGGTGTGAAGCATTTCTTCCACTTCTGACACCCCTCTAAGACATTACTTTTTGTAACACTTACCAGTGTATTTTGCATGTCTGTATTCAAACTCCCTTTAGTTTCAGATGCTTTTGTGACTGCTTAGATGTCTGCAGGTCAGCTGTAGGGTCTTTCACAGAAAGTACAATACAAAACTAATGAGCATTTCTGAAAAGCATGTTTTAAAAGCCTTCTAGCTTTTTGCCTCAAAACTTCAGGGTGGGAACCTGAAACTACCTAGTTTGTAGAGCAGCAATCAGCTAATACCACTGTCCTTTCTCACACTGGAATTATCTCCTCATTCACTGGACTCTTGTTACTACAGGAATAACTGAATCAGAATGTGGTAAGTGACAACGTTTAAGTACAAATCCACAAGTCTATGCCATAGTAGGTCTAACAAGCACTGTTCACAGTATAGATAAATTTAAAAGAAATAGTCAACAATATACTACAAAGGAGAGAGGCTGCTTTTGAATTATTAGTTTTATGCAGCTTTACTAAAGTCATTGTAAAGCAATTACTTTCCTAGGCTCCTCTTCTCATCCCAGCCTTGATGTCTTTACCCAGTGACTATTACTTTGCAGTCTTGGTCCCTTGCAATGATATTGGTTATTCACTTCTGGAGCGCCAGGCAGTAAATGTGAGATCCTGATTGGCATTCCACAGATGCTGTATGACAACATGTTTTTTGAGTTGGCTGGATCTCAAAAGATGGAGCTCAAGCAGGCCTTCTATTTCCTTTGTCAGTGTTACCTCAGATGTAAAAAAACAGGCGATAACTTGATCCAGCATAAAAGAGGAGTGGCAAAGACAGATATTGCATAATATGGCACAAAGTCTCCTAATAGTTATTAAGCTATCAAAATAATTTCAAGAAATAAGAGCTGACAGGTTTTTAATATTTGAACAGTACTTTACATAGTGTGGCCATTACTTTTTTTCCCAATACCGGAAACTCTGTAGCCAGATTTACTGTGTAGAGTTGTCTTGTTTTCCGAACCCCAATGTCTGCATCCATTTTCCATTTCTTACTTTCCTACATGTGATTCTAGTCTCTTTCCTCTTGTCCAACTCCTCTCCTGGAGTTTGCTGTATAGGACTTAAAGGAAAACTCTTCTTCCTCAACTCCATGTTTCTAACCTGCTGTAGTAAATTAAATACTATCACAGGGGTGTTTACTGAAAAGGGATAAATATAATTACATCTAAAGATCTCTTTAGGCTTATTGCTGTCCACTAGCCCTTGATTTTTAAATTTTTTTTTCCATCTGCAAAGCTGTAGCTTAGAAATAGCTTTATCTTGCATCTGAAATAACATACACAATTTCATCTAAAAAAAGAAAGAGGAAATTGGTGTAATGGTGTTTTCCTGCTTCTGAGGTTTTAAGTTGTTTGTCTGTTTGATTTCTTAAGTCTGTTTTAATTTGTAGATTTCTTCTTTCTTTTTTTCCAGCTTCATTTCTAATGTCAGGAACTTCCTTAGAGCAAACTAAATATTCTGTGAAATGATCAAGTATGAACCAATCACTGTCATCAAAGTTGATAACTAGTTAAACGTATTTCCAAGTAGATATTACTAAAGAATTATTCTTTTTTCCTAGGTAAGTCACAGAATGAAAATCCTGGAGACTCTCTGTCTTATGTCTATGAAGCAGTTCTTAGAGACGGTAAGTTTAATTCCCCTTGCATTTACTTGAATAAAGCCAGTATTCTTTAGAAAATTAATTTATTTTCTTACATCTTGTCAGACATCAAAGGCAATAAACTAACCTTACTGCATACAGTTGTGTGGAGGAATGTGCCTTGTTCTCAGACATCCACCCACACATCTAAACCTACACGTTCTTGCGAGGAGTATGAAAAGGGAGGAAGATTCAATAGGGATGTTTCCTTTTTCCTTTGCTTTCAGAGCAGAGAAAAAGGAAGATTTGGAGAGCTTTTTCTCTCTCTTCCTAGCATGAGGAATTTTACTTGTAGTAAAGAAGCTGATTTTAAATTTCAGATAGATGAGACCTACTCATATTATTTGGCAGCCAGTAGTTGGGAGAAGCTATGCATCGTTACTTCAGTGCCTCGTGACATTTGCCACTCTGGTTTATTTATATTTGTGAAAATCTGTGAGGATTCTTAGTAGGGAAAACAGACTTGCAAAATCTCCAGTCAAGAGCTGCATAACATGCTTCCTATCCCCAGTTCTTACTTAAACAGCTCTTGGGTTTACACTGTTGTGAAGTGATTGGCTTAACAGCACTAGAGTGCTGACTAAGGGAAAATGACCAGTAAGATGTTATATAGCACTAGTCCAAGTACCAACCCTTGAGGAACACCACTTGTCACTGGACTCCATCTGGACTTCAAGCCAAGTATACAAAAGGTATTGTACAAAAGACAGTATAAGCTGAAAGAAGGTGGGTTTGGACTTGAACTGGAATGCAAGTGGACAGATCAGAATTATAAAGCTAAATGAGAAATCTAAACCAACAAGGGTGGGAAGAGCAGCAGGTGATGACAAGACATGTATTTAAAAAAAACCCAAACCAAACAAAAAACCCAACCCAAAACAACAAAGCCAAACAAAAAAATAACAATAAGAAAAACCTTGCCAAATAAAGCAAAGAGAGGGGATGAACAAGCATCAATAAGTAGTGATTGACTAAAGTGAATTGTGCAAGGCCTTGTGGGAAAAGGTCAGACAGTACACTGGAAAATGGAAAAATGATGTGGTCACAGATCTTTTGGGGAAATAAGAGCTACAAGCAGATGTGAAAACAATTGATTTGCTAGTGAGTGATAAAAAAGATCCAGTTGTGGAATGCTAATCACTATGAGATTAACTGATGAGGACTCATTCCTGTAGGTGGCAGGTGAACACGACAGCTGTTTAGCAACTCAGGTGTTATGTATTTACTTGATCTGGTTTCTACACAAGAAAAATATACTTATTATTAATAGAAAGCTGTATTTTGAGAAATTCCCTTGTGGTTCCTCAGGAAATTTTCTACTCTTCAGAGTAAGTATTTATGATTTGCACTAAAGCTGGAAAAAATTAAGCAATCTTAGTAGGATCTGGGTATACAGCCTTTTAATGACACAGACAAAATGTGATTGCCTTATGTGGAATTGGCATTCATTATTTTACCTGCAAAGCAGAGCTGTCCTCAGATATAAATACCTATTAGGTGATACCCAGCTTCAGAAAAGGCTGTTCCCCTTCTCTGAAACAGTTTTATCTTTTTTAACATTTGCCATTAAGGCTTGTATCCTAATGCTAATTAACCGAACCAATGAGGGATGGGCAAGCAGGGCACAAAATATTAGAAAGTGTAATAGCTACCTATTAAGTTTAACAACAGACACCTTTTTGTCCTGCTCAGAGGTCTTGCCAAACTAACATATATGTGCATACTGTGTTACATGTGTCCTTTACCAAACGAAACTGGAGAAAAGCCAGCACTTTGTAACAAAATAAGGCATCCCTTATGGAGATAAAGAGCTATCAAGAGTACCTTTGTTATTGTTTCCTATAATGCTCTCTGAAATCCTGTTGTAGTAAAATGTGCCTATTCTGGAGTGTAGGTGTTGAATTAAAGGACTGTCTTAAAAGATAAAGACCTCAGATTAGTTTCATATTCATAGCCCTAACAAAAGGGAAATAACAAGGAGCTATAAAGTAAGTATGGTTTTCAGATGCATCTAAAAATACCACTCTTGTCTACCTTTTAGCCTACTGTAGGTCAATAGATTTTAGCTATTTCAAACTAAAGGTGGGAGTAAAGCAGCCTGTCCCCTAGTGAGTCAGTCTTGCTGACAGCTCAGGTTTTTTTCTTCTTCAATACCAAATGTTTATGGCATGAGTCTTTCTTCTGATAGCAGCTGTGACAGCATGGCATGGGGAGACATGTGGTCTCTTAGACAAGTCTCATGTAATTTAGAGCTCTACAGATCAAAAAACAACATCATAAATTTTGTACAGGCATTGATAAGAGCCCCGTGCAGGTATTGGAGCTCTGCTGTCATACTCGGACTAAGACGTGCTATTTTGTAAATGAGCTGCTGCAGCCCAGGCTAGCTGCTGTTACCAGATTGATATAAGGGATGCTATGACCTGGAGTATCTTGTCGTGTGTCAGTAAACATTTGGATAACACTAATAATATGTATGCTGTAGTTTGATTAGGGTGAAGGCTGAGAATGCCAGCTACCAGTGCCTCTCCCCCTAGCCTCTCCTGATCTAGTTGTTAAAGGACTTTTGTGTTATGTTAAACTTCATGACCTTCTATCCATGTAATTTTTTTAACTTTGTAAAGAATATTCTTAAGAGAATAGCTTCAAACATGGCCAAGATGGACAAGTCTGGCTACTCAAATAGTGGCTCCTGGAGGATTGATATCTGTATGAACTTAAACCTCTGTTCATCCTGAAATCTAAGCTTTTGGCCTCCCTGCCAGGTGTGCTTCCCTGAAGTATGACGTGGTTCTAAACTGCTCCTGTCCAGTTGTGTTCTTTTATTTCTACGTAATTAAAAATGTAACCATGTTCCACTTCTGTGTCCAAGCACAGATAGTAGTTTGTGTCTGGCCAGTTATAAGAGGCTTGAGTTGTAGTTCAGAGAAAGTAGGGCTGCTAGGCAGCTGCAGCTAGCTCCTTTGGAATAATAAGGAAGTTGCAGGACTTTATCAGGCAAATAAGTGTTGGAGGTCTACTTACAACTCTGATTGCTGTCAGTTCTTTTGTCTTCAGTGGTAATTTGAGTTAGCAGCAGGAAGATAATGTGTCTCTTTTGTTGTCAAGGCATGACTTGGTTTTCAGGCAATTTTTAGTGCTGAAACAGAGATGAGACATGTATGTGTTGACACCACAGAGATATGGGAGAAAACTTCCAAAATGTTCTTACTGTGGTAGAACTCCAGTAACTCTTGAAGTGGATAGATGGACTCTAATAAAACATTATGCTTTAATAAATGAGAACTGCTGGTGCACACAGAGAACCAAACTTCAGTTTGTCTCTCCCTGGAGAAGAGACATGATGAAGGTATGCAGAATGTAGAAAGTGAGAATAATCATAGAATCATTAAAGGTGGGAAGGGACCTAAAAGATCAAGTTCCAACCCCCCTACCATGAGCAGGGAGCCCTACCACTAGATCAGGTTGCACAAAACCTCATCCAACCTGGCCTTAAAAACCTCCAGGGATGAGGCATCAACAACCTCCCTGGGCAACCCATTCCAGTTCCTCACCACCCTTATAGTGAAGAATTTCTTCTTAGTATCTAACCTAAATCTCCCCTCTCTCAGTTTAAAACCATTACCCCTTGTCCCATCACTATCTTCTCTGATGAAAAGCCCCTCCTCAGCTTCCCTGTAGGCCCCTTTCAAGTACTGGAAGGCTGCTATAAGGTCTCTCGGGAGCCTTCTCTTCTCCAGGCTGGAAAGCCCCAACTCTCTCAGCCTGTCTTCATAGCAGAGGTGCTCCAGCGCTTTGATCATCTTTGTGGCCCTTCTCTTGACCCTCTCCAACAGATCCATATCTTTCTTGTGCTGAGGGCACCAGAACTGTGCACAGGTACTCTAGATGGGGTCTGACCAGAGCAGAGGAGCAGAATCACCTCCCTGGCCCTGCTGGCCACACTTCTTTTGATGCAGCTGGGCTCCAGCGCACACTGATGGCTCATGTTGAATGAATGGCCAACGTGAATGAATATTGCAGCACCATCAGTTGCTAAGATTACATAAACACCAAATCCAAATATTCAGAAAAGGAAAAATGGCTCTTCATAACTTTTAGAGGAACTGTCAATTTGATGCTTATTTACACAAAAAAATTGTTCACCATAAATAAAGTAATAGAAACATTTTGGGAGACATGCAAAATAGGCCAACTTGCAGAAAGCTACTGTTTTTGACAGAATAACTCAACCATGCAGGAGAAACTGGGAATGATTTAAGGTAAACAAAGATAACTGTCTATGTATTTGCAAAAGATAGATGACTCAGCATAGAGCGCAACATTATTTAAAGTTTCTTCTGTAATGAATATGTTTACCTTGGTCTGGAATTCATACAGGATAGAAAACAATGAAAGAAATTAAGATTTAAGTCAGATGTTTAGACATTTGAGTATATATTTAACAATTTTCTGTGACTTTTCAAAACCTTTCCATTCCTAAACCCTCTCTAACCATCAGTAAAAGAAGACTTCTCAGCAGAGCAGAAAAGCAGTTTTGCTCTGGAATCGTATCTGTGAAAAGGCTTCTGGTAAAAATGTATTAAATGCCATGTTAATGTAAAACATGGTCATTGAAATAAGCCCACTATGGTGGATGTTTTCTGCCTCCACCTTTCTCACAGCCTTACTTGGACCATTTATAGAGCAATTTATGCAGCTGGAGGCTGCCTTTCAATCCTACTCTGCTACACACTCTGATGAGCTCATTCAGTATTTACAAATACGCATACTTCAAGAGGATTAACTTCAATAAATGTGTGTGATAAAGTTGTGGTAGATTGCAGGAAGAATATGATGTACATACTTCTTTCTTTCCTGTCGTTTTCATGTTACAGAAGGTTACTTTATTTTCTGAATGGCTCTAGATTTATCCACATTTCTTCAGAGATCTTGTACATGTATTTGTATTTAAACTTTTTAATTGCAAGGAAGTCACTTATACA